AAGAGCAGATTTCCCACTGGGCTATCAATCAGGCAGAAAAATAGCAAAGATAGAAAGCTAGTTTTCTGATTTTAAAATATCAGTTTGGAATGAGCAAATCCTTTTTTAAGAGGCTTAAAACTATATATCTTCTATAGATTAAAAGTTGCATCATTATCCTAACTAATAAAGAGGGAAAATGCTAATTGACCCTCACACCATCACAAAGTTGGTGGTGCTAACGAAAAAAACCATTGAAACCTGTAAAGAATTTTTTTGTGAGTTTATTTGAGCCTTACTGTCGACATATGCTGGGAAGCAGAACCTCAATGGATTGAGATAATGCTCCAGAGAATGGCAGGTTACATTTCTATATTTATACATTGCAATCAAAGGAAAGGGACGTAGGTTAGTTACATGAAATTCATTGGTGATAGATTAGGGAGGTGGGACAAAGCGAAGGTGGGGGGGAAGAGAAACCTCTGGGATAGGGTAAAAGGTTAAATGATGGACATGAGCTTCTTTTACGGAGATGGATACAGGATACTGTAATGTAATTAACAGTTGACAATTAACTTGATAACAATAACAATGAGGGAGTGTCTCAAGGCCATTTGTTGTGCCCTGAGGGGTCTGGAGTAAAAAGGAGTTACCTAGACATCTCACAATATGTTATCTCAGGTTCTAGAAGGCAGACAGGCTCAGTAAAAGATCAAAGTTGATCTTTGTTAGGTGAAATATCTGGGACATGACTACCTACTATAACCTGTTAAATATTTAATTTTCAAACCATCTTTTGTGGTTATCTTAGGTCTCTGGGTTTGCAAGACTGCCACACAGGCCTTCCCTGAGCTTGTCAAGTTAGCATGTGGCTCTTTTCTTTCACAGTGGAGCCCAGTTCCCTCAGCCCCACCAGAGTCCCACAGTGCTTTCAGCTCAGACTGCAGGGAGGTTGGGGAGGAAGGGAGCAGTTAGGGCTGGACCTGCCCTCAGGCCCCCAACTTTCCAGGGCTGGTCCAAAGCACAGACAAGCCTCAGATAGTGGCTGCTCAGCCGCCCAGGGCCGCCCAAGGCTCAGGTAACCAGGGCTGGCCAAGGTTTGTGCTGCTTGCAGTGGCAGCAGCAAAGGTGTGATGGGGGCATCATCTTTCCCTTATTGCCAGGTTATCTTACGCCCCTGAGGGCTCCTGGACTGTGAGAGGGGGCAGGCCTGGTTGAGGGACACCCCCTCCAGTACATTAATTTTCATCCACCAGGCCTCTAGTAACCTAATAAAAAAGATTTTAGGTGCTTTATTTGAAGCAGAGTCTGATAATCTGTAAAATGATTATTCTCAGAGATACACTACAGGTGGCAAAAAAAGAAAAAAAAATCTGCTCCCACAGGCAAAAGTAGAATGAGGAGAAAAGATGGCTAAAGCTGAGAGAGATGGAATAACTAAAATGAAATTATGTGCTGTGGAGGTACTTGAGTGCATAATTTTAAAGTTGCCACCATATACATTCAAACCAGTTGATGCTAATCTTTAAATTCCAATATATGGAAACAAGAGAACAGAATAGTTAACAAAATTATTCTGTTTTTCTGATTTATTTCACCTGTATTTTCATGTTTCCTAAAATCTGGACAGCATACCAGTCAAGAAAATAAAAGGAATATGTATATTCTGTGGTACTTTAGCATTTGGTTTAAATTATAATGAAGACATAAGAGGAGAGTCAAGATACAATTTCCAGTCCCAACACTCTTCATACATTAAAAAGTAGCATAAAATAAAAGGAACTTCCCCACCTTAATATTTTTTAGTTTATTTTCCAATCAATAGAAGAGTATCTGTATGATTTCTAGGTAGTAGCTGCTCGGAGTACCATGTGAAAAAATGATCCACAGGCCACATGCAATGCAGCCTGAAAGAGTGACTTGATTAATAAGTACTGTCTGTCACACCCACCAGTCACTCAAAAAGAGAAAAAGGAAAGAAGCACAAGCATTGTATACAGGTTATTAAAAAAGCACTTTTTATTTACTTTATAACACAGATGACTTTTTACAGTTGAAACAAAAGATCTGATACACAATTTTGAGTTTTTAGCAGCACCTGCAACAAGAGAATTGTGGAATACCTCAGGATAAAGTAGAGATGGCTGAGGCAGGCACAAATTAACCTGAAATTTATCAATCCACTGAAGACATATGGAATCTGAGACCCCCTGATATTAGTCTAATACATGAAAATACAAAATAAATATTCTGTATGACATTCTAATGAACCATTGAAAAACAGTATAGTTTCAATTAGAAATAGGTTATTCAAAAATTTGGTGTTCATGAAAAAAAAAAACTGCTGAAAATACTGCACTGCACATTCAGGTACACAATTTCTAAGCCTATATGCACAGTACCCAGGACTCTCAGATCTCAGCTTTTGGTGTTTTTAAATCTTATTCAAATTATACATCAACACCTCACTGAGTATTGCTCACTAAAATGCCACTGTTTTTTGTCACTTTATGTTAAATGTTTTTAAAACATATTGTGTAGTGATTTGGCAGAAAAAAAGTTGGCATGGCTAAGAGGAAAGGGGCTTTAGCTAACCTGCCAATAAAATCAACACTTGTGTTGAATGGACAGGAGACCTATGAATGGGATATCCACGCAATTTTTTTTTACTTAAATGACCACATTCCATTCTGATAGAGACAAGTACTTTTGTGAGTGAATGAAGGTCTTTATGAAGGCCTGAGATCTACAAATAGAAACTATTTTAAGCAGAGTGCAAGTAGAAAGAGAAGGCCCCAGGTCTCATGCACTTTAAAACAGTTAGCATTTAACAGCTCTGATGTACAGATTTTCACCTTAACATGATTGTAGCAAAATTATCATAGAATTTGGAAACCAGTGTGGCCTCCTATAGGCATAGTCAGTATAGGGACCAATTCTTATGACCTATAGGGTCCCAGTTCTGTCTTTGACTCTGGCATAAAAGTTAGTTTGCCAATAGGGTCAGGACTATATTTAAATTGGAAATATTGAGTATAACTGGGTTGAAATGCCATCTTCAATTTGTCTAGGTGGCCAAAAAGTCCCAGAGCTCTTAAAGCACATAAGGTCTTATGTGTAAGGCCGATTCCATATGTGACTACAATTGAAAGTTCTAAGCTATATTCTTGTGAAAGCTCCCACCCCCTCCTTGGCCCAGGTCCCTTTTGGGGGTCATTTATAATTGTTCATCACTAACTCGGGTCACTATTTTTATCATAGGTGTTTAAAAAGTGCAGATAAAAAGCTATGCCAGACAAACAAGTCAACCAACAAGAACCAGAATGCATATACCGGTAAATAGCTGACAGTCATAGTAATCAAATTTTGACAACCAATGTTGTATTTTAATATCTTATCTTCAGGACATTTATATCTGGGCACACAATGATTACTCAGATTTCAAGAAATTTTCCTGCCATACTACAAAAGCAAAAGATAGAGCTATGTAGTTACTGTTAAATGCTTGATCCCAGAATAGTTTGAGCATTTTTAAAAGTCCCTCTCCATAGTGTTAGCTATTGTCTTAAGATACATCTAATTATAACATGGCACTGAAATGTAGTTTGTAGCTTATAGGTTTATAGTACTTAGAGCTGGAAGGGACCTGAAAAGAAACATTCAGCCAGTACAGAAATCCTTTTTTATGGTATTTTAACAGATGGTCATCAAGCATCTACTTGAATATTTTTACTAGAAAGTTTGCTATTAAGGCAGTCCATTCCAATGTTGGACAATTCTAATTATGAGAAATTAATTCTAATTCTGAGTTAAAGTCTGCTCTCTTGTCACTTTTAATATCCTAGTTTGGCTAGCTGAATATACAGTACAACATACAAACAAAACAAAACAAACAGCAAAAACAAACAAACACACACACAAAAAACAACAACAACAACACACACACACACACACCCTGTTTCTTCTTATACAATAAATATTGGAGTTAAGGAACCTTGTGAGAAAAGCCCATTATCCCCCACTCTTTTCTGAAGGCTTCTCTGAGAGCACAGCATGATGGACCAAATGACCATCAAAATTATGAGCAGAGAGCACTGCATCCAAAGCCATATACCAAGCAGCATCGCTAAAGTGATCAGAGGTTGGCAGAGAAGAAACATGCCTAGGCAGCAAAAGTAGACTTATGAAGTAAAAGCAGACCAACCATTTATTTGCAAGAGTGGTTGGCATATTTAAGCATAACACATTCTCTATTACCCTGTTACTTCAAACACAAGGAGTATAATCAATTTCCAGTGTCATCAGTGTATCTCTTATTGAGATGGTATATTTTGAAAAGCTCAAATGGCAGCAAAGCATACATAAAGGTTTAAACAAGGCAGTATACATCATTATACTTTTGTATTCCTAGTAATTGCAATGTCTTTAAAATTCAAGCTTAGGAAATCCTTGTTTAAATTACTATTTTACTGTAATAAAGTTCAGAGTATTATTTCCCTCTTTTGGCAGACACGTCGAAACTGCTTGGCAAAAGTTGGTGGTGATATTTGTTAGCTGATTAATGGACACTGGCAGGGGTCCTCAAACTTTTAAAAGTGGGGGCCAGATCACGGTCCCTCAGAGAGCTGGAGGGCCGGACTATATGAACTACTAATTCCTACTGTAACACCTCGGCTGCGCTCACTGCCCAAAAAACCTGGCGGGCCGGATCAGACTCCTCTGCGGGCCGCATGTGGCTCACGGGCCGTAGTTTGAAGACGCCTGCAAGGGATAGCTAGAGCTCTTTAATTCCTTCATGCAGCTGGGTTCTAAGTTTAAACTATGATTTGAAAAAAAAAATACTTAAGTCTCTCAGGACTAAAGTTTTCTGAAATGTCCTGATGCACACAAGAAGGAAATAGCAGAAATCACGCAAAATACACTTGACTTGATAAAGCACTTTTAAAAAGTTGCTCTACAACTTCAGTGTGAAAGGCTCTAATTAACAATTACAACCTTATCTCTTACCCTTTCTTTTTGTGTGTGTGTGTACAGTTTTAGAGGGGCACAGTTATTCTTACACTATCGACTGACCAATTTGGGGTACACCTTTAAAAGGCTTCTTACTTTTAACAACATGAAGATCCTGCTTTGGAACCACCATTCAAGTCAATTGTGTGACCTAGCATGCAATGCTCCAACTGTTCCTCTACAGCCAACACCTGCCTGACAGCTTCTTCAAAGGCCACTGTCACATTAGTATCATCTTTGGCACTTGTCTCTAGATAAGGGTATTCTCCATTCTCTATGCACCAGGCTTGTGCCTCCTCAGTAGTCACTTGCCTATCCTCTTTGTCTACCTTGTTACCCAGAACTACAAAGGGGAAGTGCTCAGGGTCTTTCACATCTGCATAGTAGATGAATTCTTTCTGCCAGTTACCAAGGTTCTCAAAGCTCTGTCGGTCGTCCACACTGAAGGTCAAGAGGCAGCAGTCTGCTCCCCTGTAGAAGGGTGTTCTAAGGCTCTTGAAACGTTCCTGCCCTGCAGTGTCCCAGATCTGGAGAGTTACAAAACGTCCATCTACCTCCAGATCTCGATTTAAGAACTCTACCCCTATGGTGTGAAAAGCCTGGGAGTCGAATTTATTCGTTACATAACGGTTCATAAGCGAGCTTTTCCCAACTCCACCATCACCCAAGAGAATGACCTTTAAGAGCAGGGATTTACCACTCATTGTTGCAGCACCAAATGGGGAAGTTTCTAACCAAGATAATCTGAAAAGAAAATAAAAAATAAGAGGGAAGACAGTTAAACTTGAAATGGAAATCAACTTCATAATACATTTCTCTGAATTGTGGAGCCTTCTAATTCATGCTCATTAACTGATATAGTTTAGCAGAAGGAATAAAACTCTTTTTGCATGAGGAAGAAAATAGGTCTTGATGGTCTGAGGTCTATTGACTCTGCCAGGAATGGATGAATGCCATGGGTAAGTGGACTAGCAAATGGTGCTACAATTTGGTTCAGTTCTGACCCTGTTCTCTCTTAGATGAGAAAACCTAGAGCAGGAATGCCATTAAAATGTGTAACCATATTAGCTTCAGATTTTGACAGTTCTAAACAGGCAAATAGTATAAAATTAAATTGGAGTTTGAAGTCTGTTCATGATGTACTGAGGAGAGAAGGCTGCATAAGTTAGAATTCTGTCAGTAGAGGTTTAGGTTAGAATTAGACCAAACTTGGAAGAGAGAAAAAGGTAAAGTTTCTTCTGGCATTTGCCTCATTATACTTGCATTAATATGGATGCCCTCACAAGTAAAGGATCATCCATAATATTTTCTTCATGGAAGAGTAGCAATTAAGTTGGTGACAGTTGACTGGTACCAATATAATAGCTGTCACTCAGGAATAATATCTAGAATAGCTTATTAATTTTTAGTTTACTAGTAGGTTCTAATTCCATACTAGCACTAAAGAAACATATTGTAACCTCTAAAGTATTAATAATTATACTGAATTCTTTTGTTACCTCCATAACATGTCTATACATGAAATACCTAGACTGCATCTTAAAAGAAAAAGATCAGCCCTAGCCGGTTTGGCTCAGTGGATAGAGCATTGGCCTGGGGACTGAAGGGTCCCAGGTTCAATTCCAGTCAAGGGTACCTTGGTTGCAGGCACATCCCCAGTAGGGGGTGTGCAGGAGGCAGCTGATTGATGCTTCTCTCTCATGGATGTTTCTGACTCTCTATCCTTGTCCCTTCTTCTCTGTAAAAAAAAAAAAAAATCAATAAAATGTATGTAAAAAAAAAGATAAAAGATCAAATACTACCTTGTACTAGATTCTGTTAGGCTGTTTCATATCAGCTCCATTGTGGAAACTCAACAATGATGATGTTGAGTGTTATTTATGCATGAGACCCAAAGAGATGAAAAGTAATCACTAATCAAACAGCACATGCAAAAGTGTTTCTGGAGTCAAATACATTTGAAATGTAATTTTAATAACCCTTAGTAGTCCTTAAAATTATATTGTATTAATCATGTGTATTAATCATATATTTTTCTAAAGTCATTTTTAGGAAATCCAATGAAAAACATATAAAATATATATCTATACAGTTGAGTATAAAATATAAACCTACCCAGTTGGGTCTTTGTCACAATCTTGTCTTTTTCTTGGTGTTTTTTGTTGTTGTTGTTGTTGTTTGTTTGTTTGTTTTCTGTTCTAGGATTCTAAAAAACAAATTGGGAAACATTATATTTTTTAATCTATAATAAAAAATATGTACTATACTCAAGTCGTGAAAACAACAGACCAACCTCAAGCTACCTAGAGAGAATGCTTTTCATAAATATACTTGAGTGTAAAATGCTATAAATGTTTAATATGGACAAATAATTTTATTGCAAGAACTTAAACTTGTCCTAATTTGAGTGTACTTTATGTAATTTTTAAACTTTTATATTGTATTTCTATTGAACTCTCCATTCAAAGTATATCAAAGAAAGTAAGTGATATTCACAGTAGAAGATATTTGGGAAAGGGAAAGCACAGAGAAAGCTAAGATATGCTGAGATTCTATGTCAGAGATGAAACTCCTTCCCTTTACACCTATCAATGTTCCCATCTCCAAGAATTTTCTAGCACACTCAGCAATCTTCCTTGAGTTTGTCTCTGCATTTGATTTAACAAGATCAGAGAAGAAAAGTTTATGTTTGAGGATACCCTATTTATAATATGTTCTATTGGCTAATTATTTTACTCATTAATTTTGATCATCTGTCTTGAACACAAGTTTTAGTACTTAACCGGCTTTATTAAATTCAAACACAACTTCATTTAACATCTTAGTTAATTATGGCAAGAATCATACTTAATCATCACAAGAATACTGGTCTAAACAGCATGGGATGGTCACAGAGGAAGGGGTGGGGGGTGGGTGGAGGTGGGCAAAGGGGGGGGGAATGGGGGACATCTGTAATGTCAACAATAAAAAAAAAGTAAAAAAAAAAAAAAAAAAAAGAATACTGGTCACCCAGCCAGCTTGGTTTAGTGGTTGAGCAATGACCAGGAGGTCATAGTTCAATTCCTGGTCAGGGCACATGCTCAGGTTGTGGGCTTGACCACCAGTGTGGAGCATACAGGAGGTAGCCAATCAATGATTCTCTCTTACCATTAATGTTTCTCTCTCTCTCTCTCTCTCTCTCTCTCTCTCTCTCTCTCTCTCTCTCTCTCTCTCTCCCCCTTTCTCTTCCTCTCTGAAATCAATAATATATATATTTAAAAGTATACTCATCTAAAAAAGAAAAACAGTCCTTAGAAATTTGTTGAGTATTCTTTCATAGTGAGGAATAAAGAAACGTTAAAAAAACAATCTCTCTTGCTTAAATAATCTCATGTAATTTTTAAAATTTATTTTTATTGTTGAGAGTATTATAGATGTCCTCCATCCCCCCTGCCCCTTTACTCCCCGCCACCCAGCTTCCTCCCACACTCCAGGCCTTCACTGCACTATTATCTGTGTCCATGGGCTACGCATATATGCATATAAGTTCTCTTCCTGCCCTCCCTTCCTTCTAAGATCTGTAAATCTGTTCCATGCTTCCAAGTCTCTGGACCTATTTTGTTCATCATGTTATTTTCTTCAAATATAAATAAAGAATATTATAAGAGATTTATTAGAAATATAAATTAGTAATTATGGATTTAAATAATGTCTTTTAAATTGATAGGCTTTGTCCTTCTTCTTGGTCTATATTTATTAATATTCTAAAGAATTCTCAAGTTTACCACAATTCTTTATTTTTTTTGTCCTCAGACTGCTATCTTTGGCACTAGCTCAAGTAACAAACATTTCTTTAAAGGATGATGAAACAAGTGTTAGTACACCTCTTTATTTTTAATACTTGTCTGTGGGATAACTTTCAGAACAGAACTCTTGAACTCTCACTTAAAATACAATAGTAACAGAAGGAAGAGAAAACTTGAGCACAATACTGGTAGTATTAAGGGCTTCTTTAAGTATCTAGCAAACAGATGTTCATATCATTCAATGACTTACTAACTCTACTTTCCTGACTGTGGATATAGCAAATGAAGGACTGAGTGCATATGGAAACCAAATACTCAGCTCCAGGAATAATGATGAAGTATTAATAACTATCTGAGATAATGCTACAGTTGCTTGTGCATTCCATATTTGGTCATGTGCACACATAACTTCTAGGTACATAGGGAGGAAAAACAATGTGGTTCAGTGTCAAGTGCACTGGGCTGGCAGCAATCGGGAGATAAGAGTCTTCATCACTGCTTTCTCATTAATTTATTTTATAAAATTGGACAGGTCACTTAATCTTGCTGTGTTTTAATATTGTCCTTTATAAAAACAGAACTGATAATACCTGTCCTACTTAACTCATAAGGATTCAGTGTATATGTGTGGTTAGGATGAATAACTTATGAAGCCTGCAAAGATATGTATGCATTTATTGAAATTTTTGGTTTGAAGTGTTTGTTCCTCTCGCTCCTCCACTTCCTTTCACTCACTACTGGGAGCCTTATGACTCAGTATTAACCCTTCTCAAAAGGGCCTGCCAGTAGGAATATAGCAATTCTTCCTTTTCTTTGTCTTCCATATTTGAGAATGTCTTGTTTCCTAATAATTTTGAGCATCTGCATATACCACAGAATCTCAGTGTGGAGGGACCTTAAGGGTCTTCTGGTCCAATCCTGCTACTGCTGCTTGAGAAAGCATTTGAGTGCCTATGGGTGCTGTTTCCCTACTAAGGTGACCCTCTATGTACCTCTGCTGTCTCCAACTCTTGTTTGTTTGCTGGAAGTAGAGATTAATACTGTTCAGTTAAGGCTTGTCTTCTTGCCTTCAGTCACTAAATCCTGCTGATTTTTAATTGAAATATTCTTTTCTGATCCTCTGCTATCATCCTCATTTGGCCCACATCTTCTTGTATCTAGTCTATTATGAAAGCTTCCCTGCTGTTCTCTCTCTCTTGCCTCTGGTTTCTCCTTACCTCATCTACTTTGCAAAGCTTAGTCACTTGAGCACTCACTGTTGGACATGCATACATGTTTAGGTGAGGTCTTACCCTCGAGGAGTTTACAAATTAACATATAAGCTTCAGATCTCATGTTTTACAGTTGAAACAGTAGCATTGTACCACCTTATTTTGTTACCAAAACCGTTTTTACAAGTATGTCTTTCTGACACAACCAAATTTTAAATTCCCAGATAGTAAGACCCTTGTTTGTATGTCTTTGAAGACACTTGAACATGCAGCACCAGGGTCCCCATATGGCTAATCAATAAATATTTGTTCATTAATTAACTTTAAGTAGGTGCCAAAAATTAATGCCTCTAACTTTATGCCAAGGTACTATAGAGTCACAATTCCGTAAGAAATAACACCAAATACTATTATTTATAAGGTGACTAAAGAGCAGAAGTTATGGTCTTATAGGGGTCACTTTCTAAATGGAATTTAACCGGAATTCCCCCTGTTGAAAGTTGATTGAAATACTCAAGTTTCCCTCCCCACCCCTCCCCTCACATTTTAAAAATAAGCCTACAGATATCTCCATTCCCATAAAAAACAAGAGGAGAATAATTATCTTCATGTTTTCAGTGGTTGCTGGCCTCCCCACTATCATCATCATCACACTGAAAATGAATGTGATCTTCTTTATTAGATTGTTATCTTTTTTCAAGGTTTGATTTAAATTTGGCATATTCTGGGGAGGAAAAAATTGATTTGCTCCCCCAGAATATGCCAAATTTAAAACAAACCCTGAAAAAAGATAACAATGTATGCAAGAGAACCCTTTGGTAACTCTAAGTACATTTAATAGGTAAGTCAAATCCCTTATACATGGCTTATGGATCCCATATCAGGTTAGAATTTGGACTAAAATGTTTATTCTGATTTTTATCCTATTCAGAGAAATATCTGGCTTTAACAGAGCAACTATCCTAGAAATGCAATTCTCCTTTCCTATCCCAAGGCCCCAAATAGATTAACAAGCATTCTCTAAGGATAACTTATTCACTTTTTTTTTCAATCAGGGTATACATATTAGAGTCTAAGACTTAGTAAGGTCAATTAGGAATTCATATAACAGATACTTGACAGCTTTCTTTGCTTTTCAACATACTTGGAACCTTCTGAATATGCTGTGCTGGCACCCACTGATTGGATTTAGTTGGGAGTGGGAATGGAGATGAGGGAGGAGGGAGTACAATCATGAGAAAGATGTTGAAGCTTTGAAAATAGTAGATTTTAGTGTGATGATGGAGAGAAGAGTGATAGAAATGCAAATTGGCAAGTCAATTCAGTTGCTAATTATGCTCAAATCCATAATGCAGATTGGAAGCAAGTCTTGAGAGGGATTGTACTGCATGGTTGGGAGGTAGGGGAAGAGCAGCAGGGGAGAGCTAAGCAGTGGGTGAGAGAGGAACTGGCTGCAATCTACACAGGAGAGGAGTCATAGTTGGGGCTGTAGGGAAAGCCCATCTTGTGGTGATATACTGGTTGAGGCTACTCAACTCACTGTTGATTCCTGGCACAATATTTGTTAATACTGCACTGAAGAACCGGGAGATGCTTTCTTTAATCTATGTGAAAATCAATACAAGTAAGAAATGACAAAATATTTGAGTTCCTCCACCTCAAATGGTGTAGGTTATTTCCAATTCAACCTGATGCTTAGTGGTGGTGGTGGGGTTCCTAGCAGGTAAACCCTCTGACGTGTACACTGGATTCATTTTGTAGAGCTAACAAGTTATCAGCTACATCCAGGCTCTGAGTCCAAGAGTCACAGTCGCCATGCCGCTGAAATGCTATTCTCACATTTATGTCCATGTTTAGATCTTATAAGCATCTAGAAGGAACCAATGTGGAATTTCACCTCTAACCTTTTATTCCTCAGGATGACAGCTCCGTGGCTATGAGCCTGAAGGCACACTAGATAGCAATTTGGCACTGTCTCCAGGCCACTTCCTAAGTAGACTAGTTTAGAGACAAATAGGTAAGGTTTGGGTAAGTGATCAAGGTACCAGGAGAAGCTTCTTTAGGAGACCTGGAATGTTGTCATCTCTAGGACGGGGCATTGCTAGCATTGGGGATCTAAAAATGGAGATGCCATGCATAATTTCAGCTACCTCGGACCCAGGTCCTCTCATCTCACCCCCAGCTCTTAGAACCAGAGACCGTGGTGCATGCGCACTGAGCCACACCCGTTCCCCAAGGAGTCCTACCCCTCCCTGCCTGGCTCTGGCAGCCGCTTGGATTACTCAGCAAAGACCACCTCCCCCAACAGTCACCTATCCCCCAACTGCGATCCCTGCACTGCCGAAGTCCCTTTCCAAAAAGGTGCGAGTGCCCTCGGAAATCACCAAGACCTCCCTTTATCCATCTTTCTCCAAACACCCAACCTCCGGGCCTCTGGGGTCCCGGCTATTGGCCTTGCTCCCTGCCCACGCACAATCACCTTACCCGACACAATGGGACAGAGATAGCAGAGAGCCACGGGCACCAGGAAGTCAGCTCTGGGAGCCGGCCGCCCTGCTCCTCAGCAACACTATCACAGCTCCTACGGCCTCCAGGTCCTCAGTGGGGCAGCAAGTGCAGCTTGGACCTCCGTAGCCTGACAGCAGCTGCTCGCACCGCCCGCCGTTACTGCCGCGCAGCGTCTGGAGCCGGCGCCTGAGAGGGGAGGGGGAGGGGCCCGTGCCGCCTCCTCCTCTAGCCCCTTTCTTGTGCTGGGAATCTGGCTGCCTCTGGCCCTCGCAGGTCCAGAGCGCACCCTGTGAAGCTCGGTTTTCTTTGGTGTTCAGTGGCCAACCCAGGTCTCCCTTGTCCTCCTCCCCTCCGCTCAGTAGGCACAGAGACAATGGACAGTCAAATATTGCTCTCCCATTGGCTCCTCTGCAGCTGGGTTCCACAGTCCCATTTCCCGTAATTACCCTTTGACCTACCTCATTTACCTTACAGCTAAACCCTCTAGTTTTAACAAAAGGATAGCACATATATTCTCCTGTTTCAAACAGCGCAGGGAAATATATTACTAGGAAATACATTACACAACACATTACTAAGTCCTCTAGCTGACTACTGCTCATGAAATTCTCATGGCAATCCAAAAAGAAAGATTCACATCTGTAGCTCAGGCATAGAAGGCACACCATCCTTTATCCTTACCAGTTAACAAGAGGGACATACAGAAAGCATTGCTAGAAGTTTCAGGAAATGTTGCTGAGGTAGAATGAAATATTCCAGTTGTACCCAGCTTCTTTTTGTTGTCTCCTCTAGCCTTCTGATACCTCCAACTTTGTGGTTTATTCTTTCCTGTTATGAGCTCCTGGGGTTATTTAGCCCATATTCCATCTCTCTGTCAGGTAGATCCACTGATGTCTGAGAAACTGTGCCTGTAATGCACTGCCCCTCACTCACCATGGACCTCCTGAAGGTCCTCACAATAACCTCCCTCCATCTAGGCCAGTCTCACTCTACTTCTTCACAAGTGAACTATTTAGTCAATCCCACATGGGCCAGTTAAAATGTCACTTTCTCAGAGTAACATTTCTAAATAACCCTAGAATGTAAAGACTGCCTTCTCTTGCAGACTCCTGTAGACTGCTGTGCTTTTTCTTCATAATACTTATCTGTTAATGATTAGGTATTTAAATATTATTATTTTGATTGACACCTGTCTTCTTCCAGCAAACTATATTGCATTATAAAGTCAAGGATTGGGATTGTCTAGATTCACCATCATATCCCCAGGCCCTAGGGCAATGCTTGTTAGATAGGACATGCTCAGAAAATATTTGTTGAATACGAATGTCTATCATAGCATCAATAAGTATTGTTCTCTAAAAATAAAATTAAGAGATCTAACTTAATCCCTTTTGCTCCTACTTAAACCACTTCTTCCCCTCTCCTCCAAACACACTAAAACTCTCTTCTGATGGAGGGGGAAGATACACATAGTCCTCAATATCAATTTTTTTACTCCCACATTTGCATCTGTAATAACATTTTGAGCACAGGCATGCATATATATATATATATATTTCCTATCTAATAAAAGAGAAACATGCAAATTGACCATACCCCCACTATGCCCACAAGCCATGTCCACCAGCCAATCAGGAGCAAGTATTCAAATTAACCCAACAAATATGGTGGCAGCCTCAGAACTGGAGAGAGCAGGAGGCTTGGGTTGCCCCATGCGATGGATGAAACTAAGCTTTCCACCTGCTCTGGCCTCTGCTCAAGGCTACAAAGTTTCAATTATAAAAGATAAATAAATCCCAGATACCAGGGCCTCCACTTGGGTCGCTGGGGGTGTGGCTGGCCTGAAAACAAACACAGGCTCCTTGTCCAGGCTGCCCATGCCCCAAGGGAACCCCCACCCTGATCCAGGACACCCTCAGGGCAAACCAGCCAGCCCCACCTGTGCACCATGCCTCTATCCTATCAATAAAAGAGCAATATGCAGATTGACCATCACTCCAACACACAAAATGGCTGCCCCCATGTGGACACAAGATGGCTGCCACAAGATGGCCAGCAGGGGAGAGCAGTTGGGGGGGACCAGGCCTGCAAGAGAGGGCAGTTGGGGGCACTCAAGCCTGCAGGGGAGGGCAGTTAGAGATGACCAGGCTGGCAGAGGCAGGAAGTTGGGGCAAACAGGCTGTCAGGGGAGCAGTTAGACATCAATCAGACTGGCAGGGGAGTGGTTAGGGAGTGATCAGGCTTGCAGGCAGAAGCAGTTAAGGGCAATCAGGAAGGCAGGCAGGTGAGCAGTTGGGAGCCAGCAGTCCTGGATTGTGAGAGGGATGTCTGACTGCCGGTTTAGGCCCAATCCCACCTGCCTAAATAGTCAGTTGGACATCCCTCGAGGTGTCCCAGATTGGAGAGGGTGCAGGCTGGGCTGAGGGACATGAATTTTGTGCACCAGGCCTCTAGTTTGGTATAATATGACCAGATTATTCTTCCTAAAACATTCATCTTAGGCCTTCTAAGATCTGGCTCCTCTCTGCCTTTTATTTCCTCTATACATTACTCTATACAAGCCTTTCAATAAGCTAAACTGGACTATTGATTTTTCCATGCACATACCTATTAGACATATCTTTTACTTCTACTCATAAGGTGCTCCAAGCTTAGACTACTATCTTTGCTCCCATTCCATCTCCTTCCTTGCTAGTTTCAATCTTCCCTTTCTTTTGAGGTCCAGCTGAAATCCTCTTTCCTCAATAAAGTCTTCTTAATCCCAGTCTGTAAAATAACAAATCCACTTTCTGCCACTTTCTAGTTAGGTGACCTTCAGCAAGTCATACTAACTTCTCTGAGTCAGTGTTTTTAACAGTAAAATTTATATCAATTGCTGGGTTAATGATCTCAAAATACTTATTAATATTTGCTGATCTCAAAATGGCTCAGCAATGAGGCAACCCAATCTAGTAACTTTTCTCTCTTGAACAACTTGATCAAGATTCCATGTGATTGATGTCTTATGGTAAATATTTAGTAATATTTTTATGGTTAGGTAGCAGCTGAACCACCTTTCTCCATCTTGGTTGAAGAAAGTGCCCTGCCTCTCACTGAGAGGCCTAGTGGGGCCAAATACTTCTACTTCTTGCTGACAACAACTACCGTGTTTCCCCGAAAATAAGACATCCTCTGAAAATAATACCTACTTACAGGTTTCCTTCTGAGTGAAATATAAGGCATCCCCCCAAAAGTAAGCCCCCCCCTCTAGGCTCTGTCTCAGAAACTTTGTGAAATCTAAACTGCAAGAAGTTGTGACTTGGATGAAGAATTCATGGGAGAAAATCACTGACAGTTGCATTGCAAATGCACTGCGAGCAGGCTACCTTGACAAGAAGTACTCATTTAAAGACAGTGCTATTGCTAAACATGAGAGATTTGGTCCACTGATTCTGAAAGAAATGGAGTCACAAGAAATTCACCAGGAAATTCAGGAATTGGATTGTTATGATGATGTTCCAGAAGATGATGCCATGATTGTCATTGAAAATATGAGTAAATTCTTGATACTGTAGGATTCACAGTTTGTCTGGTTTGTGTTGACACTACCGTACTACCATACCATATACAGGTCATAAATTTCCTTTATTTTCATTTAACAATAAATGTGTACTGTATTCTTCTTCATGGAAAAATAAGACATCCCCTGAAAATAAGACCTAGCACATCTTTGGGAGCGAAAATTAATATAAGACACTGTCTTATTTTCAGGGAAACAGGGTAGGATATGAGCACATGACCTAGACTCAGCCACTTGACCTAGGTGTTTAGCTCCTTCTCAGGACTTTGAAAATGGAGGAATTGTATACAGAGGTATTTGGAGATTTTTCACTAGCCATAGTTTTATTATTCTCCCAAGACTATAGCATGGTTTGGTTCTCAAACTTTGGTGTGCATTAGAAACTCCTTAGTGTGTTGTGGAGTGTGTGTGTGTTGGGGGGGTATTCATGTTAAAATGAAGTCTTATGAGCCCTACATAGATCTTCTAGATTAGTATCTGTGAGAAAGGGACTTAGGAATCTTCATTTTCACAAGTTCGTTAAGGCCTGGTGATCCTGATACATGCTAAAGTTTGAAAATCACATCTCTAGGCACATTATTTCTTTATTTGTCTATAGCTTTCCTATGTCCCTCATTATTTGCTTCTACAGAATAGTCAACTTTCTCTTTTAAGACTTTGACTTTTGACTTTACTCTTTTCCTTAGAATAATCTTTACACTAACTCCCTTATGATCCCCCCTCACCCCCCCCCCCCCACACACACACACACATAGGCCCTGCTTGGATATCTTGAAAGATGAACAGGGTTTATATGCCATCAACCATTCCTCTTATCATAATTTTTATTATTCTAAGAGCTGGAGGGCATTATGCTAAGCAAGATAAGCCAGTCAGAGAAAGATAAATATCACATGATCTCACTCATTTATGGAATACAATGAACAATATAAACTGAGGAACAAAAACAGATCCAGAGACAGAGAAACATTGATCAGACCATCAAACCTCAGAGGGAAGGTAGGAAAGGGTGGGGGTAAGGGGGAAAGATCAACCAAAGGATTTGTATGCATGCATATAAGCCTAACCAATGGACACAGACAACAGGGGGGTGAGGGCATGAGTGGGGGGGGGGGATGAGGAGGCAATGGGACGATAAGAACACATGTACTACCTTAATCAATAAAGAAACAAAGAATTTGTTTAACCTCCATACAGTTCTTCCAACTTTCTTTGAAAAAATTAATTCAGGTTTTTGCCATAATGTGATCAACACTGATGGCACCTTTCACTTTCTTTTGCATGCATTCTGTTCTTTTTTCTTATTAATCCTATCAATTTTATGGGCATCTTTAATTTTTTGGTTAAGTAAACTAGATTGATGGTATTCCTTTATCTCAACAAGTTCTTCCAATCCTTTATCACACTAAGGTTAACCACTTGGCTTCATAGTTTATTTTGGTTACTTCTCTTTCCCAAGACATTTGATCTCTTTTCTATATATTGGAGGAAGAGACTATTTTTCCTGTCATAGATTTTTTTCAGAGGCATATACATTCACATATATGTCTTTTTTACATTCTTAGTACAATCTTGGCTAAGTTGAAAACTAACTTGAATCTCCATTTCCTACTGTGTAAAAGGAGAATGAAACAATGGCTCTGTAAGAGACTTTTTAGTAGAGTATACATACAGAAAACTGGGTATCTAGATATCAGAGGTGAGCACTGGAGAACAAATAAAAATGTTTAAGTCAACCAAAATGCTCTC